TTTGCGTCGGTGTCCTCTCTTCACTTGCAGGTCAAGGAGCCACGGGGGCACAGCAGACCAAAGCGACAAGAATTAGAATGCAGGTGTGTGTAACTGTCACGAAAACGGAGATCAAAAATCAATGGGGAGAGGGCCAACTCGCTCAAAATACATACGATTTAAATACAGCAACAGAGGAGCAACCTCTTGGCTCTCTGGTTTGCTCAGAAAAAAATCCCCAATTGGATTTGTGGTTGTTCCAGGAGGTAGTGCATCCTGCACTCCTCTCCAGGGCCGGGAGGCTGGAGGTGCCCAGGACGGAGGAGCCGAGACTGGGCTTGAACACCCTGAGCAGACCTTCGGATCACCCACCGGCTGGATGTGCCTAGTAGCCGCGCTCCTCCTGCTGCATACCCAAGCTATGCTGCTGGCTCCAGCAGGGCTTCAGGGAAGAGGGCCCTTCACTGCAGCAGCAGTCCTGAAAGAGAAAATAAAGCACAGGTGAGAGAAATTCATCCCCAGGGCTTTCAGAGCCACGTTCAGCGTTCCTGTTTTCCGTCGCTTCTCCCACACCTGAACGCAACCTCCCTTCTCTAGCCCAGCTTCTGAGGTCGCGCAATACAGGCCCAAGCTGGCCTTTGTTTGGTCCAGGTCAGGCTGCGGGTGGCGGGTGGCAAGTATCTTAGAGGACCACCTAAGAGACTTGGGGTGTCGGATATGCAGTTGTCATTTGCAATCTGGGCCAATTATTTTTATATTGCTTATCAGGAAGGACTTTAGTTTTACCTTACACTCCAAGTACTTTTTCCCTCCTTTTTCCTTTTTTTCTTTCCCCAGAGTATTCTGTAAGTACAAGGTTTGGGGTTCCAGAGAACGTAAGTGACTCCAAAAAAAAAAAAAAAAAAAAAAAATCTCCGTCGTTTTTTATTTTTCAATTGTTTCCCCAGACCTTCCTCAAGCATTTTCTTGACCAAACAAGAACTGTAGATTGGGATGGGGGCGATGACAAACTTTATAAAAAACAGCAACCTATGAAAGTTTTGTTTGTAATCTTTAAAGAAGAGCACCTAGAGGTAGAATCTAAATGTTTATAAATGAGCAAGTGTTGGCGAAACCATAAAAAGGATTGTGAAACTCCTTAATCGCACTGTGCACCATGTGGGTGTCAAATCAGACAAGCTACACATTTCTGCAAATAGTTACATTTTAAACACTTTGCATTTTAAACACTGTATATGGGGACCAGAAAAGCAGAAGGGTTGAACAAGGTCACTACAGAACTCAGGAAACACTCAAGCTCACTAGCTGGCTCTTCCCTGTGGAACTGAGGCTCCACCAAAAGCAGAATTGATTCCCAGCACTCAGCCTCATCATTCCAGGCATCCTGTGTTTTGGCATTACCAGAGAATATGGTGTGTGTGTGTGGGGGGGGGCATGGCTCTATTTTCCAAACATACCTGTTATGTTTCAAGCCCTTCTCTCTGTGCCTCCATTAAGTAAAGGTGTCTAAATTTCCTTATTTTTACTTAAGAGGAAAATGAGGTATAGATGAGTTTGAAACTTGTTGGAGCTCAAAGTACACTTGAGAGGGGTGCCTACAGGCCTTGAGTATTTGGAATTCCCAACATACACACATCTCCCTTTAAGAAGAGGCCTCCTCTTATGATTGGTTTCTTTTTTTTAGTGCAACAATGCATTTGCAAAGATATTGAATGAACTAGCTACAAACCCTGGTCTGCCACTCCCTGAATAAATAACTTTAGACCCCTCAATCCTTCATCTGTAAAGTGAAAATTTTAAGGATACCTGTGCCTTATAGTCATTGGAGGATTGTGGATGGCAGCTATAATTTAATACACACAGAAAGTTTATAATCAGACCTTAGAAACTTATTAAACAGGCAGCCAGGAGATTCTACATATCGCTAATACATCAAAAGAGGGTACCTGGGATGCAATTTATACTTACATTATCTTTATTATTGTAAAAAAATCTGGAATGGGGTGTTTAATATACACACTAGTTTTCTTACCATCTTTGCATCATCTCTAGCAAAAATGGAATCATGACCAATTGTTTAGTATTTACTTTTTCAAAATATACAATAAACTATTGGCTTGACAGTTGAGACATTTCCTTTTAGCAAGTTTGGCTGGAGGATAGATACACGAAATTTGATGTGAAGTCGCCAACTCTTCCTTTATAAAGAGAAAGACAAAAAGCTCTAAACTAGAAATCATGGGGTTTTGATAAGCAAATATGTAGATTTATGTTGATAAAAATATCCATTATTCAATTTTTGAAATCAAATAGTTGGCCTAATTAATTGTATTTTCTGTAATTTCAACTCAGGAATTTTTTTTTTAAGTATGTGAGTTTTCTTTTCTCGACTAACAAGTTAAAGGAAGAGATTTGGAGTTCTGTAATCTAATTTACAGTGTACTTGCCAGGTTAACTTGCAAGCTTGAAAAAACGCAAGCACTAAATCAGTTGAGGTCTCTTAGAAGCGCTCTGCAGTTTCAAATGGCTGATACTTTAACCTGAAGTTGGGTTACTAGAACAATAGAAGGTGGAGAAAATACTCTTTTCTCTTTCTGGAAAGGCCGAAAACTGTTCCCTTAGGTGGATTCCCGCCCGCCTGTGATCCTGGCCCAGCGACCTCCAGATTCTCACTAGCCCGGCCCAGAGTTTTCTCTGTCTTTCGAATCACTCCACAAACTTTCTCAAGCAGAAAGAAAACTTCTACCTTCTCTTTTCACAATTTAGCCCACATCTCTTTTAGAACCTGTTTTTGAGAGTTGGAAAATGCAACACGCCATAACGTGTCCCTTTACAGATCTTTCCGTGCGGCTCGCGCTCGCGCGGTGGCTCTAGTACCGCCGCCACACTGAAAATTGTCACCAAAAATAAATAAATAAATAAATAAATAAATAAATAAATAAATAAAATCATATGCTGGCCTCAGAAACGAAACTCGGCCGGCCTCAACATACAGTTTTCCTTTTTTTGGACGTCCGAAGCGTCATTCCTGGCTGCCTTCCTTTTCCAAAGGTACAGGAAATAAATTCCCAAGGTGTTTCCCAGAAGTGCGGCCTTGTTGCAGCTCTGCCAATGGCTCGGCCCCTCACTACCTTCTTCCCTTGAACCGAAAAACCTCTCTTCCTTCCACCTGGTGAAACTTTACCACCTAGACATCTGTCTCCCAAGGAGAGCAACTGCCCAGTTGCTCTCAGGCCACATCCAATCAATATAATATATGGATGAGGAAGCCAGAGATGGCTAGCCAGGAACGTCCCGGATGTCTGCCATGGGGGTTTTGGCCTGCTTTCTCCCCGAAGTAATGAGGGTGCGCAGTAGTCAGCAGTGCGCAGCACACACAATTCCTGAGCCCTAGTCTGGAGTTAGAGGAGGTTGGCTAGAAAGCAGTAGGAAGCAGAAAAAGTCGGGAGGCCGCCGAGCTTCCTCCAGATCTCCCCCAGGTCCCATTGCTGCCTGCTGCCGCCACTAGGTATTCCCCCGAGTCGCAGACTGGAGACACTCCTCCGTCTGAGCCCCAAAATGTAGGAGCTATGTGGCCTGACATAGGTCAGTGAATCAGAGAGATTACAGGGCCCTGGCCTGTGGGGTGCAAAGCAGAACTGGAGAATCTGCACACAGGGCTGATTAAAAGTGGTCAACCTCCCCCCCCCCCAGCAATCCAAGCGCACCTCTCGAGCACCCGTGGGTTTTTGCTCCTAATCAATCTCACTCGATCTAAAGTTTTTGCTAGGCCAAAGTTAAAAGCAGAGCGGGCTTTAGCCAATCTGGGAGCACTGCAGTGACCCGCGTCTCCTTTCCCACTACCATGCTTCCCTCCCTATTCTAGACAAACTGGGGCAGCGGACTACTGAGTTTCGCCTGCCCAGCAGGGAGTCGGGGAGCCCTACCTGCCCAGGACGAGCCTCTCGGAGAGCCAGCGCGCTCTCCCAGCACCCGCGCAGTTGCAGCGGCGGAGCCTCAAGCGGCCACTCTGCCGGCCTATCGCTTGTTCCTTGCTCCTGGCGCCGTTCTCCGGGCCCCCGCGCTAGGATCTCCAGCGCTGACTGGCCTAAGGGAGTCACGTGCAAGGGCATGGGGCGGGGGTGTGCGGCCGCGGCTGCACCTCCGCCCGGCGTCCGCCTTCGGGGCTGGTCCCTAAGCTCCCCCAACAGGCAAAGTCCATGCGCGCAGATCTCGGAGAACCAAAGCACTCAGTACCGCCGCCGGGCTCTGTCCACCCTACAGCCAGACGACCTGGCGGCGCGCTGCTCCGCCAAGGATTGTTTTATTCTCTAGTTCCTTCTCTTTCCTCCCACCCTCAGTGGCGCACGTCCAGCCGCGGTGGGCAAGGGGCGGGGCTGGCAGAGGAGAAGGCGAGGCCAGGAGCTGGGCTCTTGGTCGCCTGTGAGGCACTGGGTCACCTAGGGTACCTGCCTGGCTTCAGATCTACCTGGCCCCGGAGAGCGTCAGAAGGTACTAAAATCCGAACTAGACCTTTAGGTCGGTGCCTAGAGA